GTGCTGTTGTGCTGATTGCACTAACCTTAAATATTAATGATTTATTCCTACCCCTAACTTGTATTGAATCATCAATGTTCAGTTTTGTTGGCTTATGACTATCTCTATCCTTATACTTTGGCTTCACCGGAATAGGAAATAGGAAATAGGAAATTCGGTTTTTTTCAGCGTTCGTCTCTTGATTCGATTCCTTTGTTCCAGCTCCCTACTAGTAGACTACACTCAGTTACTTCGCAATTGGATCCTTATGACTAAGGCTGCCGTATAGTTACTGTTGCCAACACTACCGAACACACTCAGGTTCGGCTTTGCTCGCTACACTCCGGTACAAGTACCTTGCATTGGATCCTTATGACAAATACATGCATAACCGAATATTGTCAATCCAGCCATTGTAGCCGGCTGCCGTATAGTTACATCGGCGACAGTGGCAACAGTACCGAACACACTCAGGTTCGGCTTTGCTCGCTACACTCCGGTACAAGTACCTCGTATTGGATCCTTATGACAAATACATGCACAACCGAATATTGTCAATCCAGCCATTGTAGCCGGCTGCCGTATAGTTACATCGGCGACAGTGGCAACAGTACCGAACACACTCAGGTTCGGCTTTGCTCACTACACTCCGGTACAAGTACCTTGCATTGGATCTTTATGACAAATACATGCACAACCGAACATTGTCAATCCAGCCATCGTAGCCAGCTATCATAGAGTTCATCGATGGTGACAGTGGCAATAGTACCGAACACACTCAGGTTCGACTTTGCTCGCTGCACTCGGTTACCTCGCATTGGATCCTTATGACGAATACACCAAGTCGTTGACATGTACATACAGGAAAATGGGTACCGACACAGGAGTCACCACCAAAACACTAGGAAATAACACTGGAGGGATGAATCCGATAGGAGGATCCACTCTCCTCTGTGCGTACGAGAGTTGTCGTGTAGCCTCCTCCTGTTGCCATTCAATGACTCGACGACGATCTTCTCCGTGCGTTCATGCTGTTGATAGGGCTGGAGTTAATAGAGGGATCTTTCGTTCGTTCGACAATGGGATTTCCTCGGCCGTCGGCAGTGCAGCAGAGAAAACAACAAATAGATATGAGTTTTGTTTTCTGTGCTGAACTGGAGACGACCGGAGACTTACCCTTGCTTTTCAAATTGCACCAACTTGGCCATCGTGGGCCGAGAACTGACTGCCATCCCATGGTCCATATGATTCAATGAGGGATGGCTTTCGAATCTGCACCGGAGAAGGACGGCTTGGGTGAGCTTGAATAACAGAGATAATAGAGGTGCGATCGATCGATTCGATTCGAATAATTAAAACCAACTCACCTGTTGACGGCCGAGCTCGGAATTCTCTCCTGTTTACCATAGGAATTGAATGAGGGAGAGAAGTCAGCGCTGTACCTTCAATTAACACTCTTGATAATAGGCTTACCTCATTGCGATCCATTCGATTGATCGTTCCAACACCATTCTTGTCGGCCAAGCTTGGATTTCTCTCCTGTTTGCCATAGAAATTCCACGAGGGAGAGAAGTGAGTGCTGCGCCTTCAAGAATGGACTCGAGTGCGTCCTCTGTAACCTTAACCTTAGTAACTTCAACGGTTCTTTTATCCACGAATCGATCTAAATCTTTCGAAAGGGAACCTGTTACTTAACGATACACATGACCGTTGATTCTGCAACTGAAGTGCGGGTACACTAATTTACACAGTAAACGCGAGCCAATCGATTTCAGAGTGCAACTGAGGGGGTAACCAAAAGGTGCGTTGTCTCCATGAGACGTAATAGAAAATAGAAAATAGGAAATAGGAAATAGGAAATAGCATTAAAGGGGTTGAGAACTCAGGCAGTTTACCTGCCGAGGTAAAGGGGTTGAGAACTCAGGCAGTTTACCTGCCGAGGTATTAACTACTACTGTACCATGTTCTACAACAATATCATCGCTGCCTGGGTGCTTATCGCAGCATCTGTGTCCTCGGCTCAAATGGTCAAGTTTGATGTCTCCATTTTGATGTCTCCATCGGTGAGTTCTACATTCAGTGCTCCAAGGGAGCCTACTGTTTGATCGACGAGAACAGCACCTTTGACAGTCTCAGCTATCCCACAGCGGTGGAATCGAATCAGATGAAAGTAGGTTTTCCCCTTCAAAAGAATATTATTTTGAAGGAGATGGTGGATATTTGAGTGGGGTGCACTGTCAAGCGGGCACATGCTATTCTACATGTGACGAAGCATGCGTCTGCGTCACGGATCCAACAGTTGTCCCAGTTGTCGGCAGCAACAACTCAACATCATACAACTTTGGAAGTCTTTCCCCTGATAGTCCCAATGCAGTTCCCTGTGCCATCACTCAAAGTTTCCTGATGCTGACATTGCGACCCCTGGCGAATTTGTCACGTACGAGAGCTCTGTTCAAAGTCCTGGTCTTCTGGCTTTGCGGTGCACTGACCAATACGCCACCTGTACTAGTGTCACCAGCCCCGACAATTCCTACTTTACCTCTGGTGCCACAGTGAGTGGCGACTATTCGTATGCGGAGGATTTCCAAGATTGCAGCCATGTTAATGGAATCTGCTACATGAGTTGCGATCCCAGGTGTGAATGCCAAGAAACCAATGCAGCTGGTGAGACCCTACCCTGTAAAGAGGGGACTCCTCCCACTTCATCTCCTACTGTAGCCCCAGCCACTGAAACAGCAGCATCCCCAGCGCCAACAGCTGCTTCTGCTGCTGCTTCGACCACCCATGTAAGGTCGACAATGGCCATTCTTGGGTCAATGGTTGCCATCATTCTATGGTAAAGAATTTCGATGATGTCTCGCGGCGAACGACATTGGAGCTGCTTAGCTGATTTGAAAATAGATAGATGTTAAGGGAACTACGAGTAGACAGCCAATAAAAGTGTCCCTGTTGGATAGATGGTAGTGCACCACCATAGCTCAAAAAGATCCGTACTAGTAGCCGACACCACTCGATCCTCGCCGAACATATCAGTTCTCGCCTATTTTGTGCCAATTGCTTGCGGGCACAAGAAGCAAAGCCGAATCAGAGGGCAGACTCGACTCAATGATCGGATAAACACTGCTTGATGCTGCAACTCTGGTCCAGTCAGCGGAAAGCAAAGCCGGATCGGAGGACAAACTCGATGATGCATTACAAGGATGATCGGATAAACACTTCTTGACTGCTGCACCTTTCGTCCAGCCAGCGGATCATGTCATATTGCATTTTATCCACCAACGGTGATGGCTCTCCCATCAAACCGTGTCGAGCTGGGTATCGCTTGAGCGCCATATCCTGGGATCGGGCAATCCTGCAAAGGTCCACTGCACCTTGATTGTTGACGGTTGTGTCTTCGTCCCCAACCATGGCAAAGCATGGGCAAAAAACATCCTCGAATTGCTCCTGAAGTAATCTTTCCAATTCAAACAATGTTTGGACTGTTCCCAGCCTACCTTTGTCTCCCACTTGGTGAGGCTTCAACTTATCCTTTTCACATTCTTCGGCAATCGTGGGATCTCTATAATTGTAATTCTTGCCAATTGGAATGGCTTCTAATTTGGGAAGGGCAGCTGCCAATTGCTTTGTAAACATCTTTGTCAGAAACGGCGTAATCAAGGAAATCTTGAGCATGGGCGCCATGAGGATAATCCCCGATACCAAGTCTTTGCGTCGAAGGGACACATGAAGGGAAAGATTTCCTCCCAGGCTGGATCCGATCAAAAAGAGCTTGAGACCAGGATTGCCTCCATCAGGTCCCCTCTTGGCCTTCTCGGCTGCAACCCTTGACACGTATGACTGAAAAGCATATTCAGTAATCTTGGTGGCAAAGTCAATCATCTTCTCTCCACTCTCCAAATATCCTCGCAACCCTGAAGTTAGGCCATGGCCAGGCAGATCCGGTGCCATGAAGGCATACCCATTTGCTACCATCAAGTCAGCAAGAATTCTCGACGTCGGAAAGGTCCCGTGGGCGTTCCATCCATGGAAAAAGACAATCAATGCCTTGGGCGGAGTTCCTGAATAGGTCGAGACGGGATCATAAGTGTGCAAACAGCAGTCAATATCACCAATTGACACCGTTTCCGAAACAAATGGCACTCTTGGCGGCTTTTTCATCCCTTTCAGAGCCCCCAATCCTCCCATCAGAACATTACTGGTGTTTGACGCCGCCATTGCTGGATTAATGTTCAGAAATAAATTTGACAATGTATTCTTCATGGTTAGATTCTCTTGTAGTTAGTCAATGCAGAAGATGTGGGAGATGATGGGAAGAAAGAAGAAAGACCGAGTACGACCTCTTTTGCAATTGGATCCAAAAGTATGTGACTGGAGAGCTGCAGGAACAATCCGTTTGATGGCCAAGAAGTGAGTGCTCTGGAGGCATCAGTTCAAAGACATGTTGTACCAGATACAATCATGGGAAGTCCTTTTGACAGCGACCTCAGCTACACTGTACTACTGGTAGTACCACTGACTTGACTCGACTCGGTTGATGGCAGCTGTTGATGGAAAGTACTGTTTTCTGATAGCATTCTGAACTTCCGAAAGACACGAGTCAAGGGGCTGACGTACCCCCAATCAGTGAATTATTCGTTCTCATCATCAGTTGAGGTCGACAGCCTGCACTACTGGTGAAAATGAGGAGTGCGGAAAGCTCAGGAGATACTGGGAACCTTCCGAACGTCCGTTGTGGTGGGAGGTTACGGACGGCAGCAAGTTCAACTACTTTTTTCAGTTTAGAAGGGAGGTCTACCGGAACCTCCAGCTAGCTAGAGAGTAGGGTACTAGTTATCTATGGAAGCCATTTTGTTGCTACACACTTGACGCATTGGGAAGCCTCGCCAAATGCTTTGCGGTTGTGATTTCAAAACTAAGCTCCCGAAGTGCCCTTTCTTGAAGAGTGAGTCATCACGTCCATGTTTTGCTTGTCCTCAACGCCACTCCCCCCAATCCCAGGTTGGAGGGGCTTGGGGTATGCTGGCCCAGCTGATTCTATGAGCTAAACTGGTCCCTAAACCACCTACACAGACCCCAATCATACCTACTTCTTTCAAGACCAAAAGAAAGTCTAGCAGTAGTGCACAGTTGAAGAGACTTGAGCCAACATTTCTAATACTAAATCCTAGTATGGTATTCTGATGCAGCGGAAGGAAACTATTGTTTTTTGTGCATCTTCTCTTGGCAATCAGATGATGTATCTTACGTTTCTTGCGTTCTACGCTGCCGCACAATTATTGAAGACTGTACCAGTACGGCACAGGCAACACGTCGGTCTCTCTTGTGGAGAACAACAGATATAGCTAGCTGTAGTATTCTCTATTATGTTATATTAATTGCTTTGGTCTGACTCTAGTTCTTTCATGAGTTCTTCCTTGTACTTTTGTCGCATAACTGGGAAGAACGTTGCCACCAGACCACCGTCAATGCCTCCCTGCAGGAGCTTTTCCAGCCCATGAGTGGAATGTTTGCATCTATGGTCTGTCACTCGATCCTGTGGGAAATTGTAGGTTCGAATCCGTTCACTGCGGTCTCCTCCTCCCATGAGACTACTTCGTTCCGCCCCTCTTGCTTGATCTTCTTGTTGCTGTACGTGTTGTCGTACTCTTGCGGCAATCAATTTGAGTGCTTTTGCCTTGTTTTTGTGTTGACTTCGTTCGTCTTGAATGGATGCCGTCAATCCCGTGGGTATGTGTGTGATTCGGACGGCACTGTCCGTGGTATTGACATGTTGTCCACCGGCCCCCGATGCTCGCATGGTTTCAATTTTGAGTTCGGATGTGGGCAAAAGCGCTCCTGTATTTGCCTCTGGCAACGATGGCAGTACGCCCACGGAGCAGGCACTGGTATGAATGCGGGTATCATTCACGGGAACTCGTTGAACCCTATGAACCCCTGATTCAAATCGGAAAAAGCCATAGGGTCCGATTGCTTCGTCGTCTCCGTCATCCAGTGCCATGATTTCGGTAGATCTGCCACTAACATGAAGCGTGGCTTCCTTGATCCCCCCCAGATCGGTTTTGCTACAACTCATGATATCGACTCTCCATTTCACAGCTTTGGCGGATTGTAGAAACGTCTCCATTAATTCAGCCGCAAACAAGGCAGCTTCATCTCCCCCCGTTCCCGCTCTGATTTCTACAATGGCATCACTTTCGTAGTCATCTTCGTCTCTTGGCAAGACAGCCATCATGATGCGTTGTTCCATGGTATCTTGCGCATGGGTGATTCGTTCCACATCTTGTTGACATTCTCGCTCCATTTCGGCATCGCCGGCTTCTGTGGCTTCTTGCAATAATTCCTGGACACTGGTCAGTTCTTCTTGCAATGCCGCTAATTTTTCATGAAGAGAAACGATGGGTGCTAACGATGACATTTCTTTGCCCAATGTGGAGAAATCGGTTCCATCTGGATGATTTAATTGTTCCACCACAATGGAATGTCGTTGCACCATGGAATCCACTCGTTGTACCACTGCCTCGGAAAGGATGGTGCGAACCAAAAGGGTATTATGACGCTGAGGTATTCTCATCCAGCTGTGGGATGCCGTTGGTATCCTCGCTGTTGCTGCTGCGCCTGCTATTAGGGAGGAGCAAGAACGGTACATTCTCCCAACATGGCTCATTGTTAGATAGCAAGGCGGGAAGAGGAGTTGGATAGATTGTACCGTAACTAAATACTAGCTAGCAGTATGGATCCATCAAAGAACGGTTTTGAGAAAAATGAGGGTTCTGGGTCGTCATTGGGAGTTTCCTGTGGCCGGTAAACGGCCGACGGGCAGACGCGTATCTTTATTAGCCGCCTTTTCGCCACCCAACAACAACAACAAACAACCACGCCAATCCACCACGCTATACCGTTACTTGTCCATTACTTGCTCGGCCTGTTGTTGCGGCTCTTCTCGAGCCGATCTCCGAGTGCGAGGGCCACAGCTAGCTAGGTAGACATCCCTCCGTCTCGGCGCTGTTAGAGACGAACTGGAGTTCGAGAGACTAGTCAGTCTGATCGCAGCAATGAGCTCTTCCGAAGAGTCGTCGGAGGACGAGGAGAGCATTGCCCGAGCTCCTTATCCAGCTCCCGTGCCAGCTCCTGCTCCAGCACCCATGCCCATTGCCAGGGCGCCTGTGCCGGTTCCAGCACCGCTTTCCGTGGCTCCTTATCCAGATAGAGTGCCAGAGAGTCAACCAGAAGCTGCGAGTATGCCAATGCCACAACCACAACCAACGGCTCCCAGTACTACTATTTCGATCGAGCCTCAACCAATGACTCCTGTCCACCACACCATCAGCGAGACAATTAACCATGACGAAGAACCACAACAATCCAACGATCATCATCATAATGCACTTGTTGTCATGAATGGCGACGACAAACCACCACCACACACTAAATTGACGGCCGCTGCCGAGCTGATCCACACGCTCGACACGGCGGCTGCACAAGCCAATGCGGCCACGGCAGCAACGGCATTGGATGCCGAAAAGGCGAGAATCTCAGCACGAACCGCTGCCGAAATTGTAAGACGGTATACTACAGGATCGCATCCTCGAGAAGGCACCGCCTTTGATGATGCTGGGCCACTCTCTCCTCAATTGAAATTGCAACATCATGCCAGTACGCCCGTGGCAATTAGTGCCGGAAGAGCACCCATGTCCATGTCCATCAACACGTCGTCCTTTTTTAGCAGCACAGCCGACAATCACAGCCAAACTGACAATACTAACAACAACCATAATAGTAATAATGGATCCAAAACACCGAATGGCAACAACAACAACAACAATCATCGAACAGCCATTACACCCATGAAGTATCATTTTCCAAAAACACCGCCTTCCACGGCCAGTCTCATTGCCAATTCACATGTCGAAGATTCCTTGTCGTTGTCACTTGAGCTGGAACGAGCCAAACAAGCACTTGAAGGAGAACGAATGGCACATGATGAAACCAAAAATATTCTTGCGGAAGAACGATCCAAAAAGAATCTAGTATTGCAAAAACTACAACGACTCGAAAGTAATATGGAAACACAACGAGAAACCATTGGGCGATCGGAGGATGCATTGGAAGAAGAACTGGAACGAACACGATTTCGTATGGAAGCCGCCGAAGAAGATGCACAGCTGGCATTGGATTTTGCCAAGGAAAGTCAAGAGGGAAGAGAAAAATGTGAAGAAATGCTGGAAGAAGCAATGGCAGAAATACAATCTCTGCGAGAACAGTTGGAGAATATGGCATTTTACACCGTCGAAGCCAGCCATCACAGTGAATTTCCACAACAACAACAACAGCAAGGGTACTACCAACAGCAACAACAGCAAGGATACTACCAGCAGCAGGAAGGAAGCTACCAACAACAACAACCACAAGAAGGATACTATGACAGTGGGAACAACACCGATGGTGGGTATTATCCTGCCGAGGAACAGCAGCAACAAGAGTATCAACCTCAACCGGAAGCTGAACATCCCCAGGAGCAACCCGAAGATGCACAGCCACAACCACCACCACAATACGAGGAGCAGGAATACCAGGAACAGGAACCACCGCCGACACCCACTGCGAAACAACATCTCGATCAAAGCAACGAGGGAACGCCTAAACACGTTCATTTCTCGGATCCAATCAGCTTTTCTAAATCACCCAGCGAAGACTCATTTGAGCCCAAGGAGCCACCTCTGCAAGAGATTGCTGCGCCTGCCGTGGACATGGTCGAAATGGAGGCACTCGACGAGGAACCACTTTCTCCGCTCGAAGAGGACGCAGAATTTGGCATGCCAACGACGACACCTATTACGACCACTACACCGACAAGACCTGCTCGTCCTCTGGTATCAGCCGGTCGAAAGTTGCTACAGAAATCCACTGGAAAGGATTACAGTGTCCATGTGGACGATATGACCTATTCCTTCGAATTTACGCCGGAGAAATCAGCTGAACGAAGGCAGCGACTGCGGGATCAATTGAAGCAGCTCGACTCGACAGTAGTAATTCCAACCCCAGACCGAACGCCTCCGCCACAACAGAAACACTTGCAATTCACTACCAATTTCTACGACTTGTGTAAGAATGCAGCCGAAATCATCAAGGCGAGTGGACATCGGTTGGAATTAGATGGTCAGTGGTTCCGAGAAGCCACGTTCAAGGAATCGGAGGAAGAAGAAACAACTCATCTGGATACGCTTGCTAAGCAGTATTGCCAGTCCGTGGAGGTGAGATAAAGCGACATTTTCCAAGTTCGTTCTCTTCAGTGACTTTGAGCTGGAACTAACCTAATTCTTGCTATCTATCTCTCTTTGAAGGTTAAAATATCACGGCAAAAGAGCGAGATAACAGAGCTCGAGTCGTTATGCTCGTTCTTGGAAGAAAGCGTTGCCAACGCGGCCAGCACCGCAACGGATGACTACGGGGCTGATTCGGGCGGTGAAGGCAAGTGGAATTCTAGCTGGACATAACACGGTAATAGAGTAGCTATCTAGAACTACACGTACTTGTAATTTGTGTTGGCTACTAGCCTTGATTGGGTGCTGTTGTGGCATCGAATCGTATCCTAGCAATTGGATTGAAGATTCTTAGTGCATGCAAAGAAGCCAGAAAATGATCTTTCGCAAGTATTTTTCATGGTGTATTGCGCATTGCTTCTGCTTTATTGGCACGGGTGGGCAACAGCATCCAAGAGTTCGATCTCGCACCAAACATTCGGCTTCAGCAGCACAAAAACTGAAGCAACGGCTACCGTACCGTACGCTTGGGTGCTCAGTCGAGAAAAGCCGACAAAGGTTTCATGATCTACTGTTCTCTACTATTTGGCCGTCCAGCCAGATTACACAAAAATGCACGATTATTAATCGTCATCTCGACACACCTCTCAAACACCTACTGCTTTTACTTTAACTTAAATCAGTGCGGCTACAATGGCAGAGATACCGGCAGCGACGGCAACGCCAGTTTCGTAAGCACCACTTTTGGATGCAGTGTTGCTGGGGGCGCCTCCAGTGCATGGTTCTGCTCCAGCGAAAAAGTTTTCGCCATCAGCCTGGAGCATACCACCCACATCAGCACAATTAATTCCCATGCAAGCATAGTTATCCTCGAAGGCCTTCTTGACAGCAGCAAAATCCACATTGGCACCACTTCCAACCTTCATGTTGTTGTAAACAGTGGAAGCATCACCAGCATTGCAAGAATGCAAGACAGGAAGGACAGATGCAGCAAAGACAGCACCTTCAGCCTCAGCCTTCTCTGTCATACCACTCTCCTGGCCGATGATGTGGGCATAACGAATAGTTCCTTGGACAAGAGGAATAGTCATCAAAGAGGTGATTTTAGGAACAAGTGCCTTGGCATCATCACACTTTCCTTGCTGCAAATGTTGCTTTCCAGCGCTGAAAAAATTGAAGATCTGGGTATTAACTCCAGCAACGCCATCATCACCGCAAGTACCAAAGTTGAGGCATCGCTTCTGGGCCAGAGTGTAGAGCAAGACTCCCTCCTTTGCGTTTTGCTTGGTGAGAGATCCGGTGTAGAAGGCTACCGCTTCGTCCCAGGCATGGACTTGGTCATCATTGCAATCATCAGTGGAGCAGTTGTTGTTGCAGTCATCCACAGCATCTTCCAATTCACGGATAACATACATCCAGATGTTCATGTAGGCAGTTCCCTTCTTGATGGCCTCTGCGTAATGATGGAGATGACAAATAAACGAGACGCGTTAGAGAACGGAATAATTGATTTGGTGGAATAGCAATTCGTCATCGCACAGCCTCACCATTGGTTCCTTCAGTCTGGTACTTGGAGAAATCGGCACCTCCATTGGTGAAAGCGATATTGGCGTTGTTGAAAGCCGCAAGGACCCATTGGTTGGCATAATCGAATGCTCCATAATAATCATAGAATTTTTTGTAAGTGTCGTATGGGCACTTTTCACATTCATACATCTTGGCTTTAGCCTGGAGGCTGAAGCCCTGAATAGTACGAGCATTTTGATTTCCAGTGCTAACATCGTAGGTGTAGGTGAAAGGATCATTAGCTCCCGCCTTGATATCTCCAGAAGGGGCAAAACATCCGGTGGTGACTGGATCAGGGCTGGCTCCGACTTGGCAAGTAGAGTAAGTTGCTTGCACATTGGAGGTCTTGTACTGCACTCGGATAGTGGTATCACCCTCTTCGGCAACGTCTAGCACATTTCCAAGAATTTCGTCTCCGTTGGCATTTTTGCCTGTAACTTCCACACCCTTTTGCACTTCAGAGGTGAGGGGGGCAGAGAGCTGGAGGACAGCATACGTCTTGCTGTATGCACCGTTGGTATAGATGTCCTTGGCACTGGCTCGGCCCTCGTCGGTACCAGCAGCCAATTGCTGCTCGATGGCTTGTTGATCCAAATCAATAGCAGCCTAAGAAAAAATACAGAAGGAAAGGTTAATGCTAGCGCCCGAGGAGAAATTGGATACCCCCAAAGATAATGGGTTGGAAACAATGGCATGATGATGCCAGTAACTTACGTGATCAGTCACAGCGGTTTGAGGCTCATACGAGATGAAGAGTTCCTCAGAGAGCTGACGATCAGTTCGAAGGGGGGTGGCGCCAGCTTGGCTGAGCAACAAGGTAAGGAAGAAGGCGTTGATTTTGAACATCGTTGCTAAATACTAAAGGAGTGGATAAAGCAATCAATTTATGATGGTCAAAAGAAGGAGAGCGGTGCTTCAAATAAAGCTGTTGGACGGAGACGATGGTGAAAGATCCTTTGGGAAGTCGTCGCTGGCCAATCATTTGTTTCTTGGTTTCTACCCCTTTAGAAGCTTACGTGGATTTGTACCAGAGTGCTCTACTCGTACCTTGGACAGCTGTCACAGTAGCATGGTGGAGAAAAGATCTTCAAGCTCGCCGGACTCGCAAGATCAATGACACCATGGCCATCGATCAGCGCTGCCATCCAGACGCCGGCATCCGGACAGCAACACGCGTCCAACACGCGTTTCTTGGAGAAAGATCATACGATTGATTGATTGATCATGCATGCATGATGTACAGCCACAAGCTACTGGTAGTTAGCTAGAGCTAGCTAGATAGAGTAGCTGGCCTGTTCAGGGGCGAGATTTGGAGATGGAGGGTTCTCAAAGTACGTTAGGGAGGAGGATGATACGGTACCATACCTGCTGTTGTCAGCTCTGACCAAGAAAGGGATATATGCGTCAACGTTGCGTACAAAGAGAAAGCAATTACATGCACTACAGCAGCTTTCCATGTGCACCCCAGCAGCCCTTGGAAAGAACTCCAGAACCAGAGATATAGGATCCTTTGCCTGTTTTCTAGCTAGCTAGACATTGACTGCAAAGTTTCCCCCTCTCAATACTCACGATAGCAGTCATGATGACTGCAACATATAAATTGTAACTAATCATTGTAACGAAATTCTAAATCAAAGGAGGCTCCATGAACTAAGCTGGGGCACAAGCTTACGTCATTTCGGGCTCGGCAGCACCGTCGTATTCCTTATCGCTTCCCTTTTGGCTGACCAGAAGGGCCACAATGATAAGCAGAGCAATAATTCCGATCGTAAGGCCAACCGCCAAGCCAACATTCGGTCCATCATCGCTGCTAGCGGTTTTCGTGGCGCTGGAACTGGAGCTGGTGGAACTACTGCTGGAGCTCGAAGAAGAAGAGCTGCTGGATGAAGTAGAGCTGGTTGAGGATGACGAGCTTGATGAAGAAGAAGGTTTGTAGTCACATGGTTCCGCTTCGTGAAGGTAGCCATCAGTCACGGTATCAACCAAGCCTCCAACATCGGCACAGGTAATTCCAAGGCACGCATAGTTCTTTTCAAAGGCAGTCTTGACAGCACTGAAACTGGCGGTACCACCATTACCCACACGCATGTTTTGGTAGACATCTTCAGCATCTGTTGGGCTGCAAGCATGCAACATTGGTAGGACAGATGCAGCAAAGACAGCACCTTCGGCCTCGGCCTTTTCTCGAATATCGTTTTGTTTGTCCATTACATATGCATATCGGATGGTTCCCTGGATGAGAGGGATGGTCATCAACTGGGTGATGCGCTCAACGTTCTTTTTGACGGCATCGCAGTTTCCAAGCAAAAGATCTTGCTTTCCAATGCGAAAATTCTTGAAAATTTCAGCATTCACTTTGGCCATTCCAATTTCTGGGCCACTAGTGAGGCATGTTCCATAGTTCTCACATCTCTTTTGCGCAAGAGTGTATAGCAGATGGCCACCATCTCCAGAGCTCTTTGGAATGGATCCAGTGTAGAAGGCTACCGCTTCATCCCAAGCATGGACCTGGTCATCATTGCAAGCATTGGTGGTACACTGTGACGAACAGTCATCAATGGCATCTTCCATCTCTCTGTTGACATACATCCACACATTCATGTAAGCAGTTCCCTTCTTGATTGCCTCTGCGATGCAACAGGGCATATTGAGAAATTGACAACGACAACTCATGTACGACAACAACATAAAAAGACGGACTTACCGGTGGTTCCTTCCATGCCATAGCTGTTGAAACTAGCATTTCCCTTGGCAAAATTGGTGGAACCCTTGTTGAATGCAGCAAGGACCCATTTGTTGGCATAGTCAAAGACTCCATAGTACTCGTAAAATTTGTTGTATGTTGGGTAGGGGCATTTTTCACACTTGAACATTTTGTCTTCTGCCTGTGTGCTGAATCCTTGGAGTGTTCGTGCATTGTAGTTCTTTGTAAGTGGGCTGTAGGAATAAGTGTGCTGACCAAGCTCTCCAATCTCCAGACTTCCGGTGGGAGCAAAGCCTTTACAATGTAGCGAGGAACGAAATAGAGAACGCCCAAGGGTCTCATTAGACAATCAATCTACTACTCCCACCATGGTGTTGCGTCAATCCGAATCGAAATATCCAATCACCACGAACGAGATTGTACTTACATCCCTTTGTGTTGGGTTCTGGGTTTCCCCCCACATGGCAGTCAGTCCATGTTGCCTGAACTGTACCAGCGTGGTATTGAACCAGGATAATGCTGTCTCCAGTCTTGAAGAGACCAGTGGTCTTTCCTCGAACCTCCGTTCCGTCTGCGTTTCTACCAATCACAGTCACGTCTTTATCAACATCCACTTTGAGCGGCTCGGTAAGTGTGATTTCGGCGTAGGATTTGGAAAAGGCTCCCTCTTGGTAGATCCTTAGGGCGGCGTCTCTTCCTTGATCGGTCCCCGAAGCTAGCTGCGTTTCCATGGCGGCCTGGTCAAGATCAATAGCGGCCTATATTTTCGTCAATTAATTAATTAAAAAGAGGTTCATAACAAGATCGTATCGTCAGTTCTCTGCGAGCATCTTGAAAAAAGGGGAAATAAAAGAACTTACATGATCGGTAACAGTTGTCACAGGTTCGTAGGAGAGGAACAATTCTTGGGACAGCCTTCGAGAAGAACGAAGCAAGGAATCAGCGGTAGCCTGTTGCAGCACCAACGCCAGGATAAGAGTCTTGAAGTTAAACATCTTGCTGTACTATTGAATTTTTTTAAGTTGCCTCTTCTTTATGCTCCAACTCAACTCTTGTCTTCCATGCAAGATCAAAAGTTATGTCCAGAAAGTCGAATACGAGTAGAGACAAGGAAGAAGAAAAGACGAGGCCAAAGCTGTGAAAAGATGCTGGTGGTACTAGCTACCGGTAGCTAGCTAGTACTCTGTAGTGGATGCATTCAAGTGGAAATGCTTCCGCTAATGGGTTATCAGTCAAAACCTGAGAACAAACTTAGTTGTCGGTCGTGGTCTTGTTCCCTCCGGCAAGATTCTCCTCTCATTTAGACCACTTCTCACATAACGTTGTTGTCGAACGCAAAAGAGGGTGATTTTAAGGATGTCTCTCTCGAGTACCGGTTTTTGGGGCGTTTGCTTTGATCCGATTGGATCAGTCGACCTGCGATCTTGAAATCGAGCACGAGATTTCCACGTGCTTGCAAAGACGAAAACAACCATGGACCGTGTCAAGTCTCTCAGTGATAGCAGCTACCTCTCTTTGGAGCAGGTAGGTACGTCAGTTCTAACACCATGGGATGTGGTAATGATCATGGAAGGGTTGGCACTGATGATTGAACCTACAAGATATCTCAAATTGTTATCCAAACTTAGCTTGAAGGAAGCTACCGCAAGGGAAAACAACTCCATTTTTATGTTCGGCTTACCCGAGCTCTATACTAGTAGCTAGCTAGCTTTAGAACACAACTAATTAAGCAACTCCTGATGCATTGTGGTCCAATGAAGCCATCTGATCCAAGGTCTAAAAAAATGGATTCTTTGCTGCCCCAGTGGAGAGCAATTGTTCGTTTCTCCACAAAGCATACGACATGCAAGTATCACCATGAGATTGCCGCTCGGCATTATTTTCAGCTCCCGGTTTGTCAGTGTCGTGGGGTGCAGCATCGGCTGGTAGCTGCTTGGGAACGTGTTCCTCTTCTGAGGCTTTGCTGCGGTTCTGATTAACGTCAAAGCCAAGCAATATCTGACTGCATTGTTGACAAAGAGCCCGATGTCCCAAGGCCAAAGCACACTGGTTGGATGTGGCCACACAGACGGGGTATTTTTGACACCCTTCACAATCCGTGTATCCGTGCGAGACGGCCCAAGTATCATGCACCAGCAAGGGAAAATGGGGTTTTCGCTTTGCCGCAGCCTTGTCTTGTGGTTGCTGTTGTTTTCGGGGATGATGCCGATCCGTGACAAAAAAGGCGCACTCCACGTCACCGTGACAGGCATGATGATAGCGGACTCCCAATCGAAAGGGAATATCCTTCAATTTTGCATGTTTCATGGGTTTGATTTGTAGCTTTGCAGTTGCAGAAATCCCCAAGATATTTCTGCGAGCCAAAGAGTCACATTCCCCCAGCCATTCGATAATGGGTGTCACGTAATCGACAGAACCAATCGTGTAGAATGTGTCTTCGATGAAAAAGTAGCCCGAATCTGGTTCTGGTGGATCCGCATTCTCGTTATTGGTTGTGGTATCATTTGGAGGATTGTTTTGGGTGGCTGCAGTGGCTGGTGCTTTGACAAATTCCCACAGCTCGTCTTCTGTGAGCTCCACAATGGTTTGGTGCAGATCCGCCAGAGTTTGTGATCCCACCATTTCAAAGGTGGCCATATCAGGGTCTAGTACGGGACCTCGCCTAGGTTCTCTTCTCCAGCACTCGAATGTAATGGTAGATTCTCTGTCCTCGTCCATACCAGTCCTGCTGGCGTTGAAATTCTGACCAATCGGTGGCATCTCATGCCTGTCCTTCTTTCGCATCTGCGACAGACCGTGTGCATCAATTCTGGAATAGGCTTGATATCCTTCGACAATATCTTGTAGCACGCGACTGGTTTGATGGAGTTCATGTCCTTCCAGGAGCTGTGCTTCCACTTCTTCCAAGGTGGGGACCTGCTCAAACAATTCCCAGAGGGCTTGATTGTAGGATATTTGTTTGGTCGGATCCAAGAGATCCACAACTCGAGTGCTGTTGTTGTCATCGTCATCGCTTGGCGCTGGTTGTCGCGTGGCATAGTCAAACGATTCGGGGATTTTCAAGTGCTGATCGTTGTGCCAAAACTTCCTGCGTTTTTTCTTGAGTGGCTCTGGGTTTTCGGTAGTAGTAGTAGTTGTAGTATCATTGTTGCTAGGTTTTTCATGGTTGTTGGGTTCTTGATCATTGTTGACTTTTCGAAAGTCTAGCTGCTGCCACTGCAGAATGTAGTCTTCCAGCAAGTTCTCAATCACGGTGTGAATGGGAGGAATGGCCACGGATTGCAAATCGAAGGGGCCTTCTTCTGGCTCATCCTCTTTGTCAATATCTTTCTTTTTTCGCCTCGGCGGACAAGCAGCAACACATGATCGGACTTGCTCTTCACGTTCCAACAGAACTTGCCATCGTCTCCTGGATTCCGTTAATGTCAGGCGTTCCAGTGCATCCTTTCCAAAATTATTGTGGTCCGTCATTGTTCATTGTTGACCTTTTTCATCTCATCTTGTGTGCGAATGTTCCCAAGAGAGATCACATCGTAAAAAGCCGATCACGGATACCTCCACCCGCTAGACAAAGCCACAAACAACACACAATCCCGTGTATCACTCAACACCAACGGGCATTGCAACACAACTCACGAGCCATCAGCGCATCGCCACACACAATCTTCACCTCACAACCACACCTCAAAGCCTGCAAAAAACTACGTACATACGCAGCCACTCATTCCAATGCACATCCTACAACTAGACCCTATGGTTTACGCATACAGTGACTCCTCCTACTTAAGTGAACCAAATGCACGATCACGAGCAGCGGGCTACTTCTATTGCAGCGACAGCACCACTCCACCACAACAACCACTACAACAACGGACAGTCCTCGTCAATCAGCTCCCATCTCAAGCATGGTTTGTCTCCTCAGCAGCGAAGCTGAACCGGAGCTCCTTTCGAGCGGCCAAGAAGGATGCCCCCTTCGAACTACACTAGAATACCTGGGACACTCACAGCCAGCCACCCCAATGCGCATAGAAAAGAGAGTTGCGGAAGGCATCATCAATGACACCGTGAAGCAAAAACGCTCCAAGGCCATCGATATGCGCTTCTACTGGCTGCAAGACCGCGTCAACCAGAACCAGTACACCGTGTACTGGCAACCAGGCTCCCTCAACCTTGCAGACGACCCCTCCAAACACCACCCAGCTAAGCATCACAAACGGATGCGACCACCGCTTATAGAGCCTGACACCACACACAGCTCCACAATGCCTTCACAACACCAACATCAACCAACCCGTATCCTGTGCTGAGGGTGGTTAAAGTCCAAACACTGCGACATGACCCTTAATCATCCAAAGCACGTCCACCAAGAGCCTGACTGCGCTCGCGAACCGCACATAGATGTAGATCCGGCAGATCCCAACGGTCATTTACCAATGACAACGGGGAACAGCCAAACGCAATAGCTCATAATTGTTTACTACCAGTTAAACCCTACTACTATTGACTTCAATACTGGTACGTCGTACCGTACCGGTACCAGGTACAGTAAGCAGCTTTAACTGGCTTATTGCAACCAGCATGATCCGACCGTTGACCAATC